GCAAAACCCCTTGAAATAGTTGTACCTGTACCTCTCAGTCTGTTGAAATAATGGCACTTTAAGTCCAGAATAAAAAGTTTAAAAATTGCTTTTGCAGCCGAGAGGACCTGATTTCAATTATGGTAGATAATATCTAGAATCAATAATAGCTTCTGGTCATCTGTTAGGAGGAAAAGAACAACAATGTCCGCCTCATTAGTTCTTATATGCAGATCTCCAGTTATTTCAGGCATAAAACTTTTAAGAATATAACCCCAAGCAAAACTTTGAAATGGGCCAGCCACTCCTGTTACCAGCTAATCAATTCCTTTTCTATCAGAGCATCTTGTTCCCTGTTTCCTGCCAAAAGCAGTCCCTCTGACATGGTGTTTCCACCTTTCAAATCTGATTTTCTAGTGTGTACTTAGCACATTTCTGTGTGGTTCATATGCCACCTCTGGTGGTTGAGGAATCATGACTTAGGATATTGAACTGGAGTCTACTTTTTACTCAAGCATTTTGCATGTGGAATATGGCCAAACAATAATTAATTGTTAAGGTAATTAGCGTTCTTTAACCTCGCATCCTATCCCCGCTCCTCTGTCTTCAGTTGAAGGACTGATTTTTATTATGTGAAAACTAAGTCTGCTTTTGTGATAAAAATGCTTATTTTTGAACTTTGAGTAGTTGCTGTAGATATTACTTCTATTGATCACTTTATATATGGGAGTGTGTGTCCTGCTACTCAACCAGAACTGCATGTACTGTGTGTCTCCTTTTGTTGTGTTGACCTTAATTTTTAACTTGAGACAAGGGCATCGTGTCACAATGCACCCTTTTATGTGGAGACATTTTCATCTTGTACACAAAAAGTCAAGCCAGAGGTGAAACTAGCTTGTTCTTGGTGAGGCTCAAATTATCTTTTTAATACTAACTCTCATGTAATGCTTGAATGCACTAGGTGGAATTTGAAAAATATCTTGTTTTAGTTTTTCGAACAACAAGGCTATCTGTGCTCTAGGTGAGCAGAAGGTGAGTTCCTGCACCAAAAAAACCCACTTAGCTTAGGCTTTAATGAAGACCTTGGGCTTGGATGGATCTGTTTTATAAGCCAGTCACTTTCATATGTAAAACTGTCCAACAGTGAGCACATACAACCACAGACTTGAATGAGAGCACAAAGATGAATTTTCTTTTGATAAGCTGAACTTAGGAGCAAAGCAACCCAAAACCAAAGTTGCTTTAATATTGCGTGTCACTGTAGTTCTTACCATGTGATTTCACTTTCTGTGTAGATTAGGTTTTTTGTGTCCTGTGTTGTTGTCTTGCTTTCCTATTCTCTGTCTACCCTTTGGCAGAAAGGAACTATTTAATAATGCCAACTGGCTGCAGTATTTGAACTCAATTTCTAAAATATTTCTGAAGACATATCCTGCTGCAAACTTTTATTGTGGGTTTACGTATTTCTCCTGTGGCTGAGAGGTGATTGAAGAGGACATCAATCACTGCTCCTGCACTTGAAAAGGACATTTATATGACCTTCAGGTACTACAATAACAAAAAATACATCCAGATGTAAGTCTTTTGATACTTAGCTTTGTGGGGACATGCATGTTTATGGTGCATCCGCAGAGAGTGGAGGTATTGGTAGATGATCTGTCTTCTGAGTGGATTTCTCTCCTCCTGTCCATCTTCCTTTTCTAAGGTCACTGGTGTCCAGTTGCAATGAAAGAGAGAGAAAGTGATAATCACAACAGCTATTTTGTTGAAGAAATTGTAGAATTACAGTGGTGCATATATGATGCATATGGGTCAATGAATGCTGTATATATAAAAAGTTCAGCTCTATTGGTATAAATATGTACTGCTTTCAATTTAGGTTGGGAACACCTTCAGCCACAGTCACCGCAGAGTGATTAATTATGTACTTAACTACTACTAGAAAAAAGAATTAAGGAGCATCTGCACAGTGTTGCAGAATAATGCGGTCATCGGAGAAAAGGGCAAGAGGTTCAGTACATGAAATCTGTATCGTGGCTTGGTTAAGAAGCCTGTGTCCTAGCTGAACCACCAAACCCTAGGACCTTCTCTGGTGGAACTGCAGCTACCTCCACCATGACTTTCTCGTTATCCTCCCTGTAGTCTACTTATGTATACACACCACAGATAAACTAAAAAGGCATGAATCACAGAATGTCTTCACAGAAGGGACTTTAAAGATCATCTAGTTCCAACCCCCTTGCTGTGGGCAGGGTCACCTTCCACCTAGACTAAGTTACTCAGAGCTCCATCCAACCTGGCCTTAAACACTTCCAGGGATGGAGCATCCACAGCTTCTCTGGGCAACCAGTTCCAGGTGCCTTACCACACTCACAGTAAAGAATTTTTTTCTAATATCTAATCTAAATCTACCCTCCTTCAATTTGAAGCCATTACACCTTGTCCTAATACTATATGCCCTTGTAAATAGTCTATTACTACATCAGCCGATTCCCTCAGGACTCTGGAATGCATCTCATAGGGTCTGATAGACATTCAGGTTCCTCAGGTGCTCATGAATGTCGTCTTTACTTACAGTGGGAGTCCCAGTCCTCATGCTCCTCCAGTCCTCATGCTCCTGTCCATTCCCTCAAGAGGTCTGGGAAGAGAGGCTGCCATTGAATACTGAGACAAAAAAAGTTGTTGAGTACCTCAGGTTTCTCATCCACTGTTACCAGTTGTTATAATAGTTGCTATAATAGCCACCTTCTGTCTGGGTCCCAGTTCTGTAGCATGACTTGATTAATAGAAATTTAGCTGTGTGGTATAAGTTTATCTGTGGGTTCTGGTGTTTTGCTTTAAATTCTCTGGTGCTCTGCAGTGCTCTTGATTTTACTTTGAGTGACGTTGCTAAGGACCACAGGCTACCTGTTTTGAGCCTGACCTTACTGCAAGACCTCTGTAAGAATCCAGCTAGAGTTTTTCAAGTGTATCAGATGAATGTGCTGGCGAAGATGTACAGGTGATGGCCTCATTTCTTTCTTTCTTTTTTTGATACTCTGCAGGCCAGCCTTCTAGAAGATATTTCAAGGTATAATTTTGTTCTTCTATACATGTTCTAAAATAATTGCTGTCTATTTTTTACACCGTGTCAGATTTCAAACCTCTCTTTGTCCTAAAGATATTTTTTAAACTTCTCTTTAAAAAAAGAAAAGATTTCTAACAGCTTCAGTAACTATGTAATAAAAATTGAATGTCACAGCAAAGTCAGATCATAACAACATGATACGATATATTGGCTCTTAAGGAGAAAATTACTGTATTTTTTTATCTCATGGAGTTTGGAAATAAGACATCTCACAAATATACTTTGAGTTTGGGTTGGTTTTGCATGCTTCTTCAGTTAATTATTTTTTTTTTTCAGTGGCTGTAGGTGCTATTTTGGCAGGCTTCATAATCCAGTTTTGCTGGTTGCAAGCTAGAAAGGTGATTATAATGACTCCTGTCATTGCAGTGCAGGGAATTGAGATATACAATGTATTGATATTTGGGGACTTTTGTTTTTATTTTCATCTGTTATTGGTTAATAAACTGTTTTAATTTTCAGATCTTTGTATAAGAATTCATTGAAAACTTCTTGGTTTTCAACTCTCAGACAAACTTTAACAATGTACAAATGCCGTCTTGCAACTAACCTGCTTAAAAGTGTATATCTGGTCATGGTGTAGGAATGAAAGTAGCTCTTTTTATTGCATAGTGCTTATTTCAGGGTATTCAGTTCTGTGTAAATAACGTGGACGGCAGGAGGAGCACCAAATTTAATAGAAATTGATTCAGTACACATGCTTGCGGAGGGAAGAGGCCAGCTGACCCAAACTAACCAGAGTGATATTCCATACCACATGATGTCAGCTCAGATACAGAAGCTAAGTAGAGGAGGAGAAAGGGGGGCATTAGTTGTTTGCAATATTTCTCCTCTGCTCAACTGCTGAAGCCCTACTTCTCAGGAAGTGGCCAAACATCACTTGCTAATCAGAAGTAGAGAATAAACTTTATAATTTTCCTCTTCACTTGTGCATGTGCAAACTTTTGCTTTTGCTTTAGTAAACTGCCTTATTTCAACCTTTGAGTCATTTTCCATTTTATTCTCTCTCCCTAGTCCAACTGGGAGGGGGAATGATAGAACAGCTTGGTGGGCACCTGCTGCTCTAGCCAAGGTCAATGGATTATAGCACACGTTAATGGGTTTTTAGCATTTGTAGGAATGAGCATTTGAAGTGGCTTTTGAGTATTCTATTTTGATTCTGAGTGAAAAAAACAGCTGGCTATTGTTTTAGCACTAGCAATATAAGACTTGAAATTTGGGAACATCACTGCTTTGATGGATGTTTTGTTTCTGAAGCATGTTTCATCTCCAGCAAAGGAAGCCCATTTCTGTAGCTCTTGTCCCAGCCTGAGCTCATGACCTCCCTTCACTGGCTTTGGCAAGGCTGGAGGGGAAACTGTGTGTGCACTTAACGTATTGGAGTGAACAACACTGGTCTCCACTCCCTAACTATTTCCTCTCGTTTGGTGTTGTGTGGAGTGCTGGGTCTATAGCATCTGTGAAGTGAATATGAAATAAGATTTTTTCTTTCATGGCATGTGAGTGATATAGATGGCAACAAAAATATTGGCACATATTGGCACTTCCAGCTTGCAAAATTCTGAGGTCTGACATGTGTTAGTGTAAGCATGTGGAATAAAACACTTTGTGTCCTTTGGGGTTCTTATGGTCTAGCTAACAGTGTTCTCCAGTACAAGCTTTCCATTCATGTATGGTAGCACTGTGAGTGTTTAGGTTTTTTCCCAAGTCCTGAATTTTAAATTTTGCTCTCATAGAAGTGGCTTAACCTCTGATTCTTTCCACAGCTTATTGAATTTTAGTAAGCTTGTTTGTTCTAACACATAACTTCCCTGAGTAATACACTATTTTTGTTAACAATAGGAATAATAATTTATATTTTAATTTGTGAATAATTGAAACTTATCATCTTTTTCAGTAATAGCTGGTTTTCGAGGGACAGTCCCACATGGCCTGTCACTGGAGATTGGAGACACCGTTCAAATATTAGAGAAATGCGATGGTGAGTTCACAGGCTGGAATTCTAGGGATAATTAAGTTTCATATACTGGTGGTTTGAACCCCATTACTATTAATTTATTTTCTTAAATTAACACATTTTAAAAGTCAGTAATGTAACACATTTTGGGCTCCCAATTTTTTTTCACAATTCCAGTTAGCTCTAATCTCTATAATAATTAATTTGCAGTTCATTTATTTTTATTTAATCTCTCCATTTAATAAACTTATATAGAGTGTAAGAATTATAACAGTAAGGAGTTCTCATTGTGATTCTTCTGCTTTCTTGGTATTTCTGAGGGAAGCCTGGCTGTCATTGACACTATCAAATTAATTCAAAGTCACAAGTTTAAGTCTTTAAGCAGTGGCAGCATTCTATTTTGCATCTGTTCTGAGGTAGAGAATGGAAATATAATTTTAACAAATGTCTGTTTCTAGTATAAGAGAAATAAAGTTGCTTTTTTATTTTCCATAATCTGCCTCCTTAACACATAAGGCTTGTCTGTCAATTTGATTTTTTTTAGCATTTGGGATTATATAGGTATTTTTTTGTTTCATACCAGGATTATTTATGGATAGTCTTGTAAGAAATGTTGTTTTAGAAGGCATAGGATCTATTCTTTCCAATCAGGTATATTATAAATATTGTATAGTAATGTGGTTGATAAATTTAGAACATGAAGTCCAAAAATGATTTCTAGATGTTTACAGCTAGTACAAAACCATTTTGGTTTTGACTGGTACAGTGTCCAATGCAGAATATACTTGGGTTACATTGGTAGAAACATTAGGTGTACAAACTTGAAGAGTAATTCCTGAAATGGTGTGAATGTAGTCATCCGAATATGAACTTGTTTAAATGAAATACCTTTCACTGTATGGAAGGTCTTTTAGATGAGTGCAGTCTGACAGCACTGTGGAATTGTCATATCTGTTCAAAAGGGAAAGATGAAATCTGTTTTACATATGGAAATGATGTGCATACTCTAAAAAGCAAAATGTTCTTTATTCTCAGGATGGTACAGAGGATTTGCCTTAAAAAACCCGAACGTTAAGGTAAAGGTCAATTGCGGTCTTGCATTCTTTGGCAAAAATGTATATTTACTTTTTAAGAGTTTATAGTCTGCATGTAAGTATATGATATTTACTCTTAAGGGAAAAATAGGGCTTAGTGTTAAGTATATTATTGATATTGCTTTAATTAGATTTGGACATGGATTACCCTTCTGAAATGCTTCTGTGTTTTAGAATGATACACTTTACAAACCCAAGACTTGAGTGAATTTTCTTTCGTTTCTGATTTTTCGATTTTCAACTTGAAGAAAGTTAAGTTGAAGGGAAAAGACTACTGAAAAAAGAAATTGTAAATACTGTTGGAGAAGTTGATTAAACTGTACCCATTTTTCTTGATGCTATGAATTAATTTAGAGCAGCCAGTGGAGACAGCTAGTTTCTAGGAGCCACATGTACAGTATCAATTGAATAAAAGATATGTGTTGTCATGTAAAATACATGGTTCATTTTATTTTCTTTTGATGTGTAGTCTTTGATTTCCATAGTAGCATAGCTGATAGTACTCAAAACCAGACTTACATTGATTTATTTTTCTGCATTCAGATATGAAAAGTTACGAAATTTGTATTTCAGTGTCTGTGTTGAATTTGTTTTAAGCTTTTTCTGTCTTATGTGTCTATTTTCTTAATCTGTCCTGTTGTCTTGCCTCTGAGACTGTAAAGATTTTGTTTTTCACGGGAAAGAAAGATCTTAAATCATCTCTTGATCCTTTAACTTGCATTGTAAGCTTTGTTCTTCTTTTTCTCTCTTCATTTCCAAGACTCTTCAGCAAAATAAGGCACATATACTTTAATTTCAGAAGTATCTTGGGGCTCATGTCAAGTCACTGGCCTTTTGTACTAAGGCCTGCAGTCTCTGCTCACATAAATTTCCTTGCTTTTATATGGAAGGCCGATGTGAAAAATAAATTTAGCCTCAGAGCCTAATCTGATGTTTATTACTTTGACCTCATTGATGTATATTACAACTTGATTTATGAAGCATGAGCAGCTGTGGTTTGTTATTGCATCTTCTGTGTCTTTTGTTGCAATTCTTACCACATGCTTGCTGTCAGACTTGCTTTGTGGTCTGTCAAATGTGCGATAGAAGTTATGAATAGGTTTTCTAAACATGACTTGATGTGTGAAGAGATGAGATGTATATTTTTTGCTTTCCTAGTGTGAATGCAAACAGTTTTCTGAATTGGATTTTTGAAGGGACTCTCTCTGAAAGTAAAATAATAAGAACACCTTGTAGCTCTTCTTGTTATTGGTATTGCTCTGTCAAGATTCCTGCCTTGTTATTTTGCCAGCTTTGACACTCAAAGAAATTATCTGTGGCAGCTGGTCTGCAGTAAGTGTGCATATGCAGCCATCCTGTTTTCTGGCATATTGTTACACCTGCAAAGCTGTATGTCTTACTGTCCTTGGGAGATGCTCTCCTGAACTGCTTTGCATTACAGAGGAGTAAGAGCATTTACAAGGGCAGTTGCCCCTACAAAGTAGATGTGTTTTTTTCGAAGGTCCAATAGCTGTGTTAAAAGAAAATGGGACACCATCATCACAAAGGAAAGCTGAATGAAGCTGTGCTTATTATGAAGAGAACATATATGTATTTTCCCTCACTGCATGAGCTGTGGTGTATTATGTTCCCAGGCAGAAGCTTGAAGCTGACTTGCTTTATTTTGCGTATTCTGATTTATGAAGGTTAGTGTGCTGTAAGAGCAGTATGACCATTGCAGCAACACTGCCTGTTCAAGAGAACAGTGGACAGCCCTAAACAACTGGAAAGGACTGCTCCTGGCAGGACACGGAGGCTCTTTGACAGGCATTTACTACAACTTTCCTGTATGCTGCAAGGCATAGTAGCCACAAAATAAAACTTTATTTTGACTTCCTATATTACCTTATCTTTATTTTTATTGAACTTCATTAACTTTATTTGTTTTGCTTTATTTTGAAAATCCCTTTCTGAAACCCCTTTTTTAAAGAAATGTTTGCTAAGACGTTATGCCCAGCAGCTGTCTGTTTTTTATCAAGCTGCAAATAATGAATAAAACCATCTAGACTAAGGGAGCTCTCAAACAGTCTTCTGTATTCTGCATGTGTTTATCTTCTAATATTCTGAAGTGTTGAAGGACTCTCTGCTGGGTTAAGAACTGGCTACAGGGCCAGGCCCAGAGTGGTGGGGAATGGTGCTGCATCCGGTTGGCAGCCGGTTACTAGTGGTGTTCCCCAGGGATCAGTGTTGGGCCCAGTGCTGTTTAATATCTTTACTGATGATCTGGATGAGGGGATTAAGTCCACCATTAGCAAATTTTCAGATAACACCAAGTTCAGGGGGAGTGTCGATCAGCTGGAAGGCAGGAGGGCTCTGCAGAGGGACCTGGACAAGTTGGAGAGATGGTCTGATTCCAACGGGATGAGGTTCAACAAGGCCAAGTGCTGGGTCCTGCACTTTGGCCACAACAACCCCTGCAGCACCAGCAGCCAGCAGTGTGCCCAGGTGGCCAAGAAGGCCAATGGCATCCTGGCCTGCATCAAGAACAGTGTGGCCAGCAGGAGCAGGGAAGTGATCCTTCCCCTGTACTCTGCATTGGTGAGGCCACACCTGGAGTGCTGTGTCCAGTTCTGGGCCCCTCAGTTCAGGAAGGATATTGAGGTGCTGGAGCAGGTCCAGAGAAGAGCAGCGAGGTTGGTGAAGGGACTTGAGCCTAGGAGGAGAGGCTGAGGGAGCTGGGGTTGTTTATCCCCGAGAAGAGGAGGCTCAGGGGAGACCTCATCACTCTACAACTTTTTGTAGCCAGGTGGGGGTTGGTCTCTTCTCCCGGGCAACCAGCGGTAGGACAGGAGGGCATGGTCTTAAACTGTGCCAGGGGAGGTTTAGGTTTGATATTGGGAAGAAATTTTTTACAGAGAGTAATCAGACATTGGAATGGGCTGCCCAGGGAGGTGGTGGATTCACCATTGCTGGAGGTTTTTAACATGAGGCTGGATGTGGCACTGAGTGTCATGGTCTAGTAACCACAGTGGGGTTGGATCAAGGGTTGGACTTGATGATCTCGGAGGTACTTTCCAACCCAGTTGATTCTATGATTCTCTGATTTAAACTCTACTGAATATGGCATTTTAGTTTCTGTTAGAGCTATACTGAGTATTTATTGCATTCCTTCCTTGTGTGTGTTTTTTGTTGCTTATTTGGAGGACTTTTAATTCAGCATGCATTTGCATATTGAATAGTACTAAATGGTATGCTGAACTCATTTAATGGGACATCTTTTACCTAAACTCTTTTATTTTTCAGGGCATATTTCCATCTAACTACATTCATTTGAAGAATGCATGTGTTAAGAACAAAGGGTAGGTGAGATGTTCTGATTTCAAATATTTTAACGTGATCAGTTACTTGTATAAAAGATCTTTTGATTACAAAGAAATAACTTCAGCTTTCTGCCACAGCACTTGAAATAGTAGTCCTTAGCTAACCTGATACTCCTTCATGGTCAGAAAACTGGAGTGATGTATTCTGAAAAGGCAAAAATAATGTAGCAGTTTAATGGCAAAAGATTTCACTAAAACTGTAGATGAATAGAGACATTTTTTCCTTTACTTCTTTTCTTCGGGGGATGAAAAGCCAATATTTATTTTTGACAAAAACTGATGTCATTTTTAGAAGAGTTGATAAAAACCAGAATAATTGGTTAAAATTAGTTTTAAAATTTTGTTTTGAAAATCAAATGCTCTAACTGAAAAAAATCTTATTTTTTAAAAATGTAATACTTACCTTGATGGTATCAATTTTATAAAACTTTTTTCAGTGATCTTAGCTCAACAGTTTTTTCCGAAGTTTTACTTAATTTGTGAGTGTTCACATTGTATCATTTATTTGGACTTATTAATAGAGACCTGGTACAAAACAGTTTAAAACCTGTTTAAGTAAAGACGTTTCTCATAATAGATGGATGCCTGAACATTAATTGTATGTGACCTTTGTTATGGGAGCATGAGCGAGTGAGTAGAAGGTCTGTTATCTGTGTTGGGCAGAAATAATCATGAAGATTGTAATAATATTTTTAAAAGTCTCATTTCCACAGGTGGAGGTGTCCCCACGTTACTGTTAAACTCACTGTTGTTTGCTATGGAGTTCAGGCCACACGTGGTTTGTCATACCTTAGGATGCTTTCTCCTTACAAAGTGGTTGTAGCTAAAACTGAAGGTTCAGTGAAATAAAATTATAAACCAACACAGTAAAGTAAAGCTTAAAGGAGAAATAATTTTTGTTAGTAGACACCATGACAGTACTTGCAGCGAGTTCAATCTTTGTTACCTCTATTTTCTCTGTTAGCTTATATTTCCCATTCAGGCCATACGCCCTACCGCAGATGATGGCCAGGATCTATCACATTGTTATGTTAATTTCCTAAGAGAGACAAGATATCATGAAAAAAGTAATCCAGGCATGAAAAGCACTTGCTAAAGTGGCAAGATACCTTTGGAAACAATGGGAATTATTATGCTGTGAAAGTCGTTTTTGACATGGTTATCTCATAGCAAAAAAATTCACCTTGACTGCTCTAGGACTAAGACTTTGCATGGGGATTAAACTATTTTCACCCGAAGTTTTTCCAGGGGGATGAAATTGATATACAAACTGAAACTGTCATGGTCTGAAGGAGCATCCATGTACGTTGATAGACATCACTGTTGGCAGGAGAAATACATATTAGTAACTTCAATGGCGTTAATAATGCTTATGTAATATCATGTGTTTTTCTGCATGTTACAGACAATTTGAAATGGTTATTCCAACAGAAGATTCTGTTATTACAGAAATGACATCAACTTTAAGAGACTGGGGAACAATGTGGAAACAACTCTATGTGGCAAGTACCCTGAATAATATTGTTTTGATTTAATGCTATCTCAAAAGACACACTGCTGTTTAAATGCTCTATCTTAGCTGAAGTATATCTTTCAGAAAAAAAGTCAGTTTGTTTTTTAACTGTTTTAATACCTGAAAATTTTATTTGGAGCTTAATACTGTTCTTAAATATTAGCATGTCCCCTGTATTCACATGCATAATTTACTTCAGTAGAGCTAATTGTTCGATACCAAGACCAAAGATGCACCTGACTTACTATTTATTCAGTTTTTCTTAACTGTAGAAGTGAAATGTCTGTATCCTAGTGTCTGATGGAAAATTGTGAAAAATATACTGTGTGTCTACTTCTCTGTAATGTTCCTACAGTCTTTTCTGTTTCTTGCTTCTAATTCAAGGGCTCTTTCGTAGGATCTTTTTTCTTTGGTTTTCTGTTACTTATAATGTTCATATTTCCTTCCTATTCTTACTGCAGTTGTTTCTTTTTTTGGCAGCACTTTTCTTCACTGCTGTTATTGCATGTTCAAAATACCCTGGCTTGCCTTCTTTCCAGACAGAAAGCCAAGACAAACAATAAATTAATGCCCATTTTAGTGAGCTTATGAAGTGAATGAACAAGAAATAAAGAGTAGATTTATCAAATGGCATTTGTCAGAGCCCTTGGAATATAAAAGTTATTGATGGAGAGTAATGGTCCTTCTAAGTGAATTTTAGCTTTTCATAGCAATAATGCAGGAGAAGTAGCCGAACTTTGTTTTTAATGCCTTTTATTCTTAGCAACAAGGAAAAGGGAAATGGGCTTAGGGTTTATTGCAAGAATTAGCAGAACAAATCTTAATAGGAGTGTTTTTTCAACTTTGTGTGATGTATCACATAAATGGAGGTTGTAATAATTTCCTCAAGCTAAAGGTTCTCAGAAAAACTGTATCAAGTAAAATTAGAATTGGTGAAGGAAGAGTTACAGATTCTTCCCCAACAGAAGTTCTTTTATGGGAAATTGTTTATGCCCTTAGCTGGTATATAATTAGAGTAGGAGGATGTGGTTTTAAAGCAATCATATTCACATAATTTCTCCTGTTTCACAGTTAGATGAAGAAGGACTGACTGGACAAGATACTGTCTGCATGATACTATTTATTTAGGGTTAGATGGTAGTGTGTACAGTTAGTGCAACAACAAGTTAAAAGAACTTTAACAATCTGTGGTTCAGAGTTTGCATGCTCAGAGTTATTGCCTTTTCTACCCTTTAGGTGCATGAGTTCAAATAGTCTTGATCAATTTGGATGGCACGGCAGCACAAAATGAACATGCTCTTGGAATAAACAACTGAAACAACCTTTTTGTTGAATTTTTTTCATATCTGTTGTGTGCATTAGACTGTTAACATGAGGATTTGAAGTGAAATACTGGAATGAGTGTGGTGCAGAGACAGGGTGTGTGGTAAGCTCTGAAACCTTTTTATGTGCACACACACAAACGTGCAGGTAAAATGGTTACAGTATCATGGGGGATAAAAAGACTAAGTAGGGGGAAAAAAGGGTTTTCTTCATTTTCTCACCATATCTGTATTTATTAGGATTGTCACCTTAGACAGGTGATGTAGAGGCAATTATATTTTTATCTCACAGAGGAATGAGGGAGATCTCTTTCATCGGCTGTGGCATATAATGAATGAAATCCTTGACCTGCGAAGGCAGGTCCTTGTTGGCCATCTCACCCATGATCGAATGAAGGATGTCAAGCGACACATCACTGCTCGTCTGGATTGGGGCAATGAGTGAGTAAATATAACAATAAATGAAAATAATGTAATAAAATTTTAAGGCCACCACTTTAGGCTGATTTGTAGAATGCTGAAATAAGGAACAAAGTTCTAACAAGTGTTACCTTTTTTTTAATGGATTCTGATTGTTTTTCTGTCCACTATGTTTTAACAGTGAAAAATAACTTATTGTTTTATTTTGCTTTTTTTTATATCAGTGTAGTTTACGTAGACAGTGGTACTGTCTATAAGAGAATTGCATTGGAATATCTGCAGCAGCCTTTTTGGATCATTTTAAAACACACTTGGCTGCTGGCCTGTATGATGCATTTAGCACAGCTCTGTGCTTTAACTGAAACTATATTGGCTGACAGGACTTCTTTTTTAACTTGTGTCACACAATTTAGTTCCTACTTGGGTATCTTTAACATATGTCATGCTACTATGCTCTACATCTTTCTTTTTTCTGAATAACTAATATAAGCTAACACAAATTCTATTATCTTACTCCTTTTTTTTTTTTTTTTAAAGCAAGAAGACACCTTATGGCATTTAGGTGCTGTTTCCAAAGTCTTTAGCCTATATTTATACAGTTAAACCACGGCAAAATGTAACAATATTCAATAGTAGAATATTGTTAGATTAGTAGAATTTCAGGGGATTCTACAGCTGACACCTAACACCTAACATAGTGAAAAGGTTGTGACTAAATGTGACTGATTACCTGTCTTCTTAGAATTTTGTGCTGACTGGAATTGTGAGGGTTTTTGAAGTGGTCAGTTCCTGCTCTCTAAAACATATTTTTGAAAAACTTTCAAATATTTCAAATTTTTCTAAATTCAGCATGACTTCCTCTTATGTGTTATTAATCTTTATTGCTTGCTGCTGTGCTGAAAATAAATTTTATTCCTGATATGATTCAAGCTAATTTCCTTAATTTGTTCAGGGGATACAGGCAAGCATCTTTGGTATCATCCAGTCCAAATTAAGATTAAGCTTGTGTTTTGGCATTTTCTTTTTATCTTCTTTTCCTTGGTTGTCATTCAAATTGATGGCACTAGTGCACTCACATCTTACAATGTTCACTATAGTACAAAGGAAATATCCATTGTACATTGTCCACAGTGTGAAACAGATTTAAAAATTGTGGAAAAGCATATTCTATTAATGTTGCAAAGTGGAGAAAAGGAAGGAGTCATATGTGAATGGTAAATACAGCCAAAATACATTAAACCAAAACCAAAGTCAACTGTAGAGTACCAATTAACATGAACATTGTTTATTGGAATAAAAAATAATCAGAAGCAGAGTTAATTTGTTTCTCTTGAATGTAGAAATTACTTACTGTTATTCCATTTCACATACAGACAGCTGGGACTTGACTTAGTTCCAAGAAAAGAATATGCTATGGTGGATCCTGAAGAGATCAGCATTACAGAGCTCTACAGGCTGGTATGTGAATGTAATACTCAGTACTTTTGCTATTAAATTACATACTCTTGGTTTGATGGCAACTCTCTTCTACTTAGCAGAAGTACCTTGTCTGATTCAATAAACTTGTGTTTCATAAACTCATAATGAGTTTTACTATGAGAAAAAAAATATTTTTTGAACACCTGTCATCTCTACATCTATATGAGATACTTTGATTCAATATCAAATTTGTGTGGGCACATGTACTTATTTTACATGTTATTTGTTAAAAGTTTTTTTTCCTGATATATCATTAAAATTGAGACTGTTAACATGAATTTAATCATCAATAAAAGCTTATGAGATTCTTTTTCATTAGAGCTTTACCTGGCCCATGAGTCCATTTAGACAAGATTTGTGGAAATATAATAGTATTCTCGTGGTACAAGTATTGTCACAATTAATCACACTGGACTCTTGGTCCTTTCTAATATATTAATGTAAATAGCAGTTAAATTGCATAGGAAAGATGTCCTTTGGGTATGAAAGCCCATCTTGATTTACTAAAGCCAGCACTGATATTTCTTATTCTGATTAAATCTCCAATGAGGTCTAAGAAAACTTGCCAGTTCATTTTTATAGGCTTTGGCTCATATTTAACTACTGCAGCTGTTACAGACACACATCTCAGAGCCTTATGTGCTTAAGATTTAAGCTTTCATTTAAACTAAATTGTATTTATGATAACTTTTGTATTTAAATATAATCCCCCCCCCCAAAATATCACTGTCGCATTTTTTTTGTGGAGCTGAAATGATAATATTTTTAAAATAATTTTTAACTACTTGTGTTGATAACTTGTAATGTCAAGCCTAATAGTAAAATCTTCAGGCTAGAATCAGTATCCCTTTGAGTAGTTTCAAAGTCATATGCAATATTATGGAATCCTGTTGAAGCACTAGATGAAATACAGTGAGGAACCATTAAACATGAGAAGAAACATACAGAGTAAAAATAACCCAGAACCCTAATAATGGAACTCATGGAGTGTACTTTGAAAAATAAAAGGGGAAAAAAGATAACCTTAGTATTAAGGCTAAGTATCTTAGAAACTTTGCAGTTTAAAATTATTTTTGGTATGATATAAGAGAGAAGTAGTACAGCTTATTATTGTCCTGTTCTTAATGGGTGATTAAAATGCTGAAGGTATGAAGTCAAATCAAGATAATTTATTAGCTTCTATATAGCAGTTTGCCAAAGGTTGTAAATATATAGATGTGATTGCTTTTTCCATTTTAAAAGACTGGTATTTAGTCTTCTGCAAAAGCATTTTTTATGTGTTTTAAAACTAGAATATCAAATCATTAACTGTTTAAACCAGCTATGAAATACTATATTGTTACAGCACAAAGCTTTAAAGTGTCTGAGAATTTTCAGAGTAGAAAAAAGGTAAACTTCTAGAGGTTACTCTTTTTCTCCTAGAGATAACTATGATGCAGTGCAACACTGGGAAAGTAACTTCCTTGTGTTCTTCTTCTCAGATAATAAAAAAAAGAAAAAACCCTATTACAAATAAATACTGAATTAAAAAAAAAACAATTTGGATTAGGAAAGTAGCTCTGTATTACATTTCTTACCTCTTTTTTTTTTTTTTTTTGTGAGATTTTAATTCAAACTGGCCTCTGTGTTTGTGGTATTTTTAGATGGAACATCGTCATCGAAAAAAAGACACACCAGTACCTGCTAGCAGCCACCATCTTTTTGTTCAGATGAAGAGTTTAATGTGCTCCAATCTGGGAGAGGAACTGGAAGTAATCTTCTCACTCTTTGATAGTAAAGAAAATCGACCCATCAGGTACCGTACAGTTTTTACTCAAATACTGTTTTTACGTAAGTTTTACAATATATACAGTATGTTTTGATCCAGGTAACAAATTGCACATTCAGAAGTAAGAAGAAGATAATTTTGATTTAGAAGAATTTTTTGCTTCTTTCTGAAATTCAGTTGTTCTGTGTAATAATCTATAGCATCATTTTAGGTTTAAAAAAATGTATATTTTGCTGTTTTGTTTATCTATTTTGGTTTTCAGGTTTTTTTGTAGGAATCTATACACATGTAGGCATACAGAATGAATGTTAGTGCTGGGATCTAAAGGTCATTTTTCAGTATCTATTTTCCTCTGTCCTACTCAGTGCACATTCAAATGTTTGAAATGTTGCTTGTTCTGTCATATTTGTGAGATGACATCTCTTTGGTACACAAGCCTGGAAGGCTGCCTTTAGTGAATAAAAAATTTTTTTTAAAAGGAGCCTTCAGTGAAAAGGTGCTGGTTTTTCAGTGAAACAGTCAAACTCAATCTCACACCCACTTTGGGTTTGTTTGGCCAGTTTTTTCAGCTGGGAGCTGAGCCATTCTTTTTCTGTTAGTCCTAGAGCTTAAATTCTGTGAGAGTCTTGATAACCTTTGATTTTTTAAATATTCAGTATTTATTTCTACTTTCAACAGAATATTGGCCAAGAGAAAACAGAAAACATGGGAGTGATCAGTAGTGAAACTGCTATACACTTAATAAATAAGAGCACAGAAGGAGAGCACAGTTAGTGCAAGAACTTAGTAAGTTCTCTTTGAGGAATATGCCAGGAAGTCTGAACCATTAAGTGGTTGTACAGGGGTGATGGGTGTGGTGGGTCGACCGTGGTCTCCAGCCAACCACAGCTGCTCTGTCACTCCCCTCCTCAGCTGGACAGGGGAGAGAAAACAGAACAAAAGGCTCATGGGTCAAGATAAGGACAGGGAAAGATCATTTACCGATTACTATCGCAAGCAAAACAGACTTTACTTGGGCAAAATAAATATTACCAATCATATCAGTGTAGGATAATGGGAAATAAACCCCAAACTTAAGAGATCTTTCTCCCCACCCCTCCCTTCTTTCTGTGCTCAACTTCATTCCTGATTTTCTCTCCATCACCCACCCCCACAGCAGTGCAGGGGAACACAGAATGGGGGCTGCAGTCAGTTCAACACACATTGTCTCTGCCACTCCTTCCTGCTCAGGGGGAGGACTCCTCACATTTCCTCCCCTGCTACAGGGTGGGGTCCCTCCCACAGGATACAGTTCTCCATGAACTTCTCCAATGTGAGTCCTTTCCACAGGTTGTTGTCTTATATATGGCAATAGGAATCTGGGGAAACGTGGAAGTTGTGCTGAATTTGACAAAATTCTGTCTATGCTTGGCAGCACAGGCAAGATAACTAACCAGTGCTTTGAAGGAAGGGTGTACTGAGTACATTAATTTTTACTGTTAATGAGATCATATATACACAGCTATTGTTACAGTGTTAGCTGCTAAATACTGACATTTCATTCTGGCCTGTAATTTAGACAGTAGTCACCAAAATGCAGTTTACTGTCATTTCTGAAGATTAAATGTACATCAAGACACATCGTTTGTGTTCACTTCGTGAATGCCACAGCAGGTGATAGATTTAGGAGAGAGCTGCAGACTCTGACAGAAAACAATTTGGGGTGATATGGATTGCTGAGAACAAGGTTAAGGCAGTGGTGGTGGTATGAAAGCAAATAGATTGGATTTCATGTTACATGAAAGTACAAATTCTAGAGCTGTTTCTCACATACTTGCTGTGATCTGACCTTTAGTTGTTGATTCCTGACTCCAGTGTCTGTTTGCAGCTGCTTACTGTGTGTGAACTTCCTCATCCCATTACTGGCAAACCTTGAAGAAGCGTGGTGTTACACATCCAAACTGTTTTCTAGTGCATGGGTGGAATGACAAGATAAGCTTTGTGATGGTAGTTTGCAAACGTGCAAATCAAACAGAGATAGAACCCCACAACAAAAAACCCTTGCAAGAAACAGACAGAAACCTCTCAACATGTTGAAAAAGCTAAACACAAGGGAGTTTTCAAAGTGAGAAATTAAATGCAAGGTGTACCTGTATCACTGAATGAACTCTGGAATTCAGAGGTGTCCAGGCTGGAGATTTATATGATCTGTCTGGTCTAGACCTGGAACTGACTTAACCAGTTTATCACCAAAGCTAGTTTCTCTGTGTAGTTATTATACAAGAATTAGTCCTGAAAGAAAATACATGTATGTCTTCAGGTGGGTGGCAGGGGGAGGAGTGGACACATCATCAGCTCTGGAATCTGTGTAGAAAGAGGTATCTTTCTGCAGTCACGAGTAAGATGCAAGGATTAAGACATATGCTAATGCTGAGTGTTTCCTTTTGGTCTAATCTCAGAAGGTTTCATGGTGAATCAATGGACTTTAGGATTGCAGTCCAGCTCCAAAGACATCTAAACTTAAGATCTTTGTGTGAATTGCACCTCTAGGCTCCTGTTACTGTCTGCAGAGACCTATTATAGTCAGCAAAACCTAGAAGGCAGTTCAGCTGACAAAATGTCTGCATCTTCTTTAGGGCATTTTGGACGGCTCCTTAAAATCCGTAGATTGTATTGATTAAAGAGCTACTCAGCATACCCTGAAGCAGTTTTGATCTGAATCTATCCTATTTCTTTTTTGTTTTCTGTTTCACTACTTTAGATCTTAATAAAGTTTGAGGCCTCAAGTTCAGAAAGTGTTGATACTGAAGTCATAAAGGATATAAATTCTCAGTATTAGTTATCTGACTTTTTGACAGTAGCCCTTAAGAGTAGAATCCATAAGAAAAAACACTCTGAATTTGCTCTTAAAATATTTGTAAAGGATTTAGGGTAAATAGTTCAAAAGTAATAAATATATGTACAAATTTCCTATTGTTGCTTCAGTATATATGAATTTTTTTGGTTAAAATAGAATACATGGTGTGTTGTCTCTTTTGTTATTATGTTGTAGTAGGCAATGTATATCTTTAAGGAGTATTCTTCTAATTTAACATATAAATTGGTGTTCTCACTGTGTGACCTACCAGTGCATTTTCAGGATAGCACTTTTAAAAATAAGTAAGAGATGGATATTAAAGCCATAAAAGCACTCAACAATTATTATGGTTTTTGTAATGTGTCTAGGTATTCTATTAGTGTTTTGAATAAATCATCACTATATTCTAAATTAAATAATTTTTCATCTCTATCACATGCATAAATGCTTTTAATTTTTCCAACATGTACTAAGAATTAGATAATAATATGTTTTCTGTTGAGATGTGAAAAACTGATGTTGAAATGTATTTCATAGTGAGTTTCACAGAGAAGAAATCTAATGTCAGATAGTGACAAAAAAAATCAGTGATGCTCTTTTTGACCTTCAGACTTCCTAGCTAAAGATTTTTCTGGGTTGGTAGCAGCTGGCAACTGACTTAGTGAGATCAGCACCCACTGGTTGTTTTTCTATCAACTTTACTAAACTAGAGGTAAATACTCTTTTGGGATCACTTTCCATTTTTGGGGATAGTACAGGACTGTACTTTTCTCCAGACTTCTTTTTGTTGCTGGAAATTGCTGTTAAAAATAACTGTTTCTAAATGTGTTAGTATCCACAATAATATCAGTTCTGTTGTACTAAGTTAGAGGTAATAATAAAATACAGATTTATTTACTACTTTATTCTTGTTGTTAATAAACAGTAATAATAAATGCTGTTTTTCATACTGTTTCTATATTGATATAATTGTCTAATATGTCTCTTCACACTTTAAAAGGCTCTTTTTGAACTTGTATGGAAGCAAAAAAAATGACAGTATTTAAGTCAAGTATTTAAATCTGAGTCATGACATGCTTGTGCGCTTGATGCATTAAGACTACAGTTGCAAGTTGTTGATTTTCTACTTAACTGGTGCATGCTAATTTCCCTTGATATGCATGCATATGTATATATCCATATTTTCTGTCTAAACTAGCTGCTAGGAATGATTTCTGCTATCACTTTTATTAGCAATAAACAACTGAAGTCAGCCCTTGATGATTCCTAGAGTTTTCCCTGGTGTGTTCTGGTATCATGTTCCATTTGCCTCCCCTTCCTTCAGCTTTGTAGTTTCCTTTCCTAGAACAGTAATAATCCCTAAGTGGGGTGTAGACCAAGTTGTGAATGGCACTGCTTTAACATGGTACAGCCATATGACTTGTCCCAATACAATTCTTTGGTTTATGCACTCTTATGTCTTTGAGCCTTACATTCCTCTTCTGCTCTTATTTCTCTTAAGGTCACAAGCCCTGTTCGTGTATTCCTTGGGTTTTTTGTTCTTTAGGAAAATAAAAGGCTACCTTGTTGACACTGTTAATTTTTAGAATGAATTTCACTATTAGAATCCTGATGGAAACATTGTAGCATACACAATTGTAAAATGGTGTTACTATTGTAGCTGGACAATGAAAGAGGTCCATGATCACATCTCTTGAGGCTTGTTTGTCTTTCAGTTCAGTCCTGTTTTCCTGGCTACTGCTAAGCTTTTACTGGCTACTTAGGGTTGTACAACATCCTAGTTTGTTCCTAAAGTATGTGAGCTCAGACATACTCTACCTGGACCCAGACTTTGTGTTGCTAAGAAATGCTTTTATAAAATCTGTTCCTGGAATTTCGCATGCTCAGCAAACGTCTGAAAAAAGCAAAATCACAAGGACATACCAATTTAGTATAGAGCTTTGCAAATTTGTTTTTATATCATCTAATTTAGTTGTAAATAGATGAAAAATTTGAAAGTCTAAGACTGCCGTCTACTTGGGCAAGTAGTACCAACCAGTAGGAGTGGATTTGTAGAGCAGCAGTTCATGCTAAATCTGTGGTTGTGTGAACTGAGTGGCAAGAACATATGTTCTAGTTTGGTTTCATGCAGAAAAAAGTCAGTTCACTAGCTCAGACTGATCAAAATGTGACGATGATCAAAAGATTTTCT